AAAATTTACATGAATTACATTTTCGCAGAAATGGATGTTTGAACGAACTAACTAGCACAATTATACCACACGATATCACTTCGGGGTCATCGTGATTCATGCAAGAGATATATGTTTACCAACTCGAACTGATCCACATGTCAGATAGAAATAAAATTTTATTCAGCTATTGAAATTTTTTGATTTTAAACATGGCTGAGTTTCCATAGCACTGGCCTTCATCCAAACGTGTTTACTGCCTTGACATGTGAAGCTATGAATACAAAGTAAGTGTCTTTGCCACTGCTCAAACGAATTGAACATACATGGTTATACAAAATTACCTTGTTGCTAAACGTAAACTTTGTTAAATTTCATTAATTGCATTGAAGCCTCAGAAATTGGTGCAAATCGTTATGGAAGAAGCAAAACACCATAGCAATATCCATTAACAGTGTACTGTGGAACGTAGGTCTAGTCTAATTTACCCAGAAAATATTTTTTGCCTCAATTAACCAGGCAATTGTAGTAAAGCTGAAATTTAGTCACCAAAAAAAATTTTTCTTTTTCGAAATTTTTTTTTTAAGTCTAACACGGAGTTTCGTCGGCACGTTTCTTATTACCAATAAACTTAAGCATCATCATTTTCAATCCATGCACTTCCCATTGCTAGACAAGGGTTTGGTCTAAAAAGAAAGTTTAATCTCCGTTGAGTTTTGTGAACCCTCGACTTTTTCTTTGAAACCAAGTGACGGGACGAACAAGTTGTGCGCCTGGTTATAAACGACACGCCTATCAATAACAGTTGCAGTGACATTGCCGCTGAGCCCGTCACCCTGAGATATAAATTGACAAATCCATATAATTATAGATAGATAGATAGATAAACACTTTATTCACTGATATAACACTAATACAGATTTAGCATAAAAGAAAAAACAAAACATGATTGTCATAGCAGTGAAACGGCGCTGACTCAGCATATGCCAAAGTTTCCTAAGGCGCTGGTTTTCAGTCAGAACCAACGAGAGGGATTAAGTTATTAGAAAGCAAAAATATAACGACTGAGTAAAGTTATACATTGACAATAATAATATACATAGTAAAGTGTAAATAGTGCATTTAAAATAACCTGCTTGACATATAAGTGCATGAGCAAATGTGAATATAATTACAGCTGTAGGTGTAAGTTATTACTGTAAAGAGGATTTAATGTTGTGTAATGTAATTAGTATTATAATATAATTATACACATAATAAGAATAGATCAAAGCAACAACAAAATTCGATTCTAGACAGACTACGTTAAAGAATAAAAACACACTACACAGATTTTTGAAGTGAGAGTAGGTGTTGCCGGTACAGTGCTTTGAATTTGGGTTTGAATTTGGGTTTGGATTATCTACCGGTAATTTCACCAGCATCCTTATCATTCAAAACCGGAACACAGTAGTGCCCTCGGAACATAAAAAGGCACAACTGCCAAATAAAGTACGCATAGTTATGCCTTTTTCGTTACGAGGACAGAGTAATGCACACATTACTGCTTGGCGGCAGAAATAGGTAAGATGGACTCTTTCACTGGAGGATCTCTACTGCTACTAATATGCTAATATGCAAGTTACGTGACACTGCACACCACAGGTCTCCTCTACAAATAGATTTGAGTCAGCCACCATTGGCCAACACCAACCAGCATTGGGTGACGCACGATGTTTTCTTTAGCTTTTAAAGCAACTAATAAATTAGTCAACAAAACCGCACACGAATCGAAAATAATCTTAGCGTAATTGTAAACACGTAGTCATTGTTCAATTTTCCATTAAAAAACAATTACAGAGGGATGTCCAAATAAATAAAGACGCTTTCGCACATTTCGTGCGTTCGCGAGCCGGGTGGCGTAAGAACCACATAGCAAAAGGCTGCTTGCGTTTGCGCAATTCGGTAGAGGTTCAAGTGACAAGCAAATAGTTTCTATTTGTATGGAGTATTGACCTCAGGTACCTCAGAGTACATATTCCAAATCGTCTTGCCCTACGCGACTTTGGAATTTTATGGGATTTGTTAAATTATGTGTCAGGTGATGAGCGCTGTAACAATTCCACTCAGATCCTCGCAATTTAAAGCTCGACAGTTGTTGATGATGTTGACTATTCATTAGGTTACTATTTGTTATTTATAACTATGTACTACTTGGAACGTGTACTGTTGGTTGACCTCAATAAATAAAAAATATATATTATTATCAGATATACGAATAATCAGAGTATATTTACCTACTACCAAGTGATACACATAGAGTGGATAATTCCTCCCCCTAAAGAACCGGAATGATTAAAAGTTAATATTTCTACTTACGTAGTTACAAAACTTTTAAATACACTACCGTTGTATATATAGTAATAGCTAGTTGCACACCAATGTATAACATATTCCTTTCTCTTACAAGGCGTAAAGTATTTTTTTTTTTAAGTAACAAAAAAATATATAATTAAAAAAACAAAAACTTAACAAAAACTGTATCAAGTAAATTTAGTATACTCAATACAAAATCCTCTCACACATACACACATACTGTCAAAGACAAAATGTAGGCCAATAGCATCGCGCCTTTGATACAGTACAAATGTGGAATTAAAAAAAAAGATTAAGTAGTCTCCCAAAGTGGTGCCGTAAACGGCGGTTGCTGGTGGGTTCGCGGCAGTGTGCAACTGCGTTCCCGAGTTCCCACCGAGAAGCGACGGGGTGAAACTCCGTCAGGTTCATCATACACTCGCCTCCCCGGAGTGTATTCGTGAGGATTTCTTGACTCTGCGGTGCTGGTGAAATTACAGGCACATGGGACATGTCAACTTATGTCCTAGGGTGACGGGCAAAGTGGCAGTACCCGTCAGATCTTTGTGACTTAAAGCTCTGAGTGGCTCTGCAACTGTTATGGACGTAGGCGTGTCGCTTAACATCAGGTGTACACCTGAATAGTTCGTTTCGTCGCTTGGCATCATATAAAAAAGACAGACACATAAACATAGGCTTCAAACTTATAAATTTGCGTCGGGACTTAATTACTAAAATTTCTTGCTAAAGGTTAAGAATAAGGTTAAGAAAGGAATGGCAAACAACTTCTGCGGAATATTCCAATACTATGGCCGTCAATAATAAAACAAGACGGCGTAAAAATAATAAAACCAACGTACGATTATTATGACGTAGTTATCATTTCTTTACTATAATACGAAACAACTATCTGAATTAGCAAACAAATAAGATATAGGAACATATTTATATAGATATATAGATAGATAGATAGATATACACTTTATTACTCACACACAGGAACAAAAACAGTACATAGACAGCTTAAAACTAATGTGAGCAAAGGCGGCCTTAACCTAACCTACCGGAGCTAACCGGAGCGGGATACGTAGTGTGCCTATAGCAAAATTTGAATTGTATAGAAAAACAATAATTAACATTATATTTTTTGTCAAATAAGAAATAAAGATATAGTATACCTACATGTATATTAGTATATATAAATATACCTAAATAAATTTATACTTACCAATAAATAAATAGACGTTGCAGACTAGGACAGAGAGACTGTCAGAAGATATTTATGCAATCCAGTTTTGAAAATGGGAAGCGACTTTGAATGTCAGATTTCAGACGAGAGTACGTTCCATAGTTCAGCAGCCTTAATTGTAAAAGAGTTTTTGAAATACTCCAAGCGAGTGAAAGGTGCTTTCAGAAGGTTATCCATTTTAGACCTAAGTTGACGGTTGTGATCCTCCCCGAGGAAGCGAAAAAGTTCCTTAAGGTAAGGTGGAATACGAGGGTCATTAGAACGTTATAGAGAAAGCCGAGAACGTGCTCCTCACGGCGCAACTTGATTATATCTTATGATACTAGTTCTTGATACTTGTAACATAGACCAAACTTCAAGTTAAGATCTTGTCAATAGAAAGGCAGTCATTGCTCGATGTGCAAATCTCGATTTTTAGATTTCTAAATATACTTTGACTAGTTGCGGTTGCTTCTAGAGATGGGCAGTGGGTTAAAACCTAGTCAACTCGCCCGGGTTTTAACCTTTTTCTGCTCAATACCGTGGGCGGAAACGATGAATAAGAAATACGAACTTATTACAAAATATGTCAATGTACAAAATCTTTTCTAAGCGAAAAAAAAAGATAATTCTAGACAATATCCACCTTGCAATCCTGTGGATTCTCACTACTAAGGATGCACATAATGATTTAACCATATTTTTGTATCGATTAATTTCAATGCGATTTTCAAGCGAATCGATTCTATACAAAGACAATTCGAACGTCTAATAAAATTAAATTTGAATATATTATCCATAGTGATTAATATTTTGTTTCTTTAATTTTTGACTAAAAATAACAAATAAAAACAAAAAATCTTTGGAAGAACGATTTGGTTCGCGACCTTTTTTTAGATTGACATTTGAGACTGAACTAGCGGTAACATTTTCTTGTTTCAATTAATTTTATAAATAACAAGATAAGGATCAAGGTTTTGTCAATGATTTATCACTACGAACCTTGGCCAAAACCGTCTACCTAGATGTCTCTAGCGGTAGAGAAGCTGTCAGTGGGGCTGTAGCCCTTAACAATTAAATTTATTTATTAATAACACAATTATAAATGTCTGTAAAATATACATCCTCGAATTTTTGTTAATAAACAAATGACGCAAAGGGCAATAATAATAAAGTATGCTATTTGGCAACTTATTACCATTTCCATTTTTGTCTTTACAATTTAAGAATGTTTATTCATGAAAAATAGTCACTTTGTCTGAGTAATGTAACAAAAGAATCGATATAAGACAATGTCTTATTCAAGTATATCTTAAAAATATTCTTTAAATCGAGAATTCTGCAAATTTTCCAGTTTTAAGTTTTTCATTGTTCGTTTTCCTGCTATAACAGTGCACTGACGTCAGAAATCATTTTATATCCAATGCATATTTTAAACGCGCAATGTAAGATAACTTACCTGTATCCGGTGAGAATGTTGAGGAGTGTCGATTTTCCGGCGCCGGACGGGCCCATTATGGCCGTCAGTTCGCCGGAACGCAGCCGCCCAGACACCGATTTCAGAATCACTTTCACATCTGAGGACAAAACGTTTTGTTTTTATTAATAAATAGTTTTTGTATTTATCTACCCATACAGATATTGTAACGTGCCAAATAACCACACCCAGACCTGGATCAAATTAGTAAAGGTAATTTCTCAAATGAGTCGTACCGGGAATCGAACCCGGGATTTCGTCATCCAGCACCAACAGTATGAGCCGCAGAGCCACCGAGGTCGTCAAACCGTGTCGTATTGGAAGGTAAAGTTTTGGTTTTAAAAGATAAGGGTGCTGACGAAGCTACAGGCACATGATACTTGTAAAATTTATGTCTCAAGGCAATGAGCAAACTTGCAGTGCTCCTCAGTTCTTTGCTATTTAAAGCTTGACGTGGCAATATAACTGGGTAGGCGTGTCACTTAACACTAGACATTCGTTCTGTCTGTCGCTTGATATCATAAAAAAAAATTGTAGGTACATACTTATAGATCCAAATAGACTGTTGTACAATAACAATAACCCAGACTGTCTTATTACAAAAATCAATGCTATATATGTCCGAATTTATAATGCTCTACCAAAAGACATTAAAACGTTACCAAATAATTTAATCAACATATATAATAAAAGACTTAGAAATAGACTTCGAAACAAAAATTATTACAAATTGACTGATTTTTTTAGGTAACCGTTGACATGAAATTAGTACTTAATGTGTATATATGTATAATATTTAACAGTTTCACATTGATAGTTATTATTTTGTCGTCATTAATTGACCGATTATTTCTTGTGCATGTCATTTATTTTAAGTAAAATTTTGAATGTGTAATCAGCTAAAATATGTGTTCCGTTATACTATGTTCCATCTTTCATTCGCCATGTTTTAAACAAATAAAAATTCATTTCCCCTCACTAGCTCGGAAAGGCTTTCTTTCTCAATAGAAATCTGTGCACATTTTCTTTCGATAAAAAAAAAACATACTGACACGTTCAACTACCGTTGGTATATTTTATTCTTATTATTGTTAACATTAAATTGACAACGAGAACTAATTTTATTTATTAAAACTGATAAGGTATAGTTCAACTGTTTTTCTTTTATCTACCATTTCCCTCGCTATAGCGAGATGAAAAGTTGTGTGTTTCGCTCGGCAACAAAGTTGTTTTGCATTCGGTGTCTTCAAACCTGCTACACACGCTCAGAATTATATTATTGAATTCGATAATTCAATCTTAGCGTCCTTCGCTTGCTTAGGTTTGAATACAAGCACTCGCGTCATACAACAACTTTGCAACCTTGCACAAACTATATCATTTCATAGGCGAACACTGGCCCTATGTTATGGGGAAACTCCACAACTACGAAAATTTGAGTCACGCATGCGAGTTATGCATCCTCCTGCACAAACGCATGGATTCTCTAACGAACATTGAAAGGTAACTCATTATCTAAGAAAGCAATAGAAACGTTATGGTTTTTGGAAAGGTTGCACCTCTCGATTTTTTCTGGTATCAAAAACAAATGAAAGAACGCAAAGTCATAGTGATACTAGGAGCGCGTTCCCATTATGTCATAACGTTTTATTTATCGATAGACGACTGTTGCGTCTAGCCTATTCCCGTATCACGACTATCTGTCATGACAGTGTCGTGGACGTTTATTTTATCGTTGAACGACTGCGTGTCCAGCTGATCCCACTAGATCGTGAGGACAATTTATCGGTTCACGGTAGCCGCCTTGTCATTTGCAAGACAGAATCGTTTGAAACTGCAATTATCTGTCGTCACATTTTTATAGCGGCGTTTTATTTATCGTGGGACGACTGTCGTTCTAGCTCCTCCCATGTCAAGACAGTCTGTCGTCGTAACATCAAAAAAGTCGTGAAAAGCAGTTAATGTGTGACAAGCCACGAGAGTTTAAACTGCACGACTATCTATAGTCACGACATAATGGAAACGCACCCTTACCAACAATAACATTCAAGTACAAAAACCAGAAAGTTTATGACGTGCATTTCTGTCTGCACTTTGGTGTTTACTCCATCCCAGCACATCTCAACCGTACGAGAATTGTTAGAGACAATAATTTTACATATTTAAATTCTATTCCAATGTGAAACGTGTCAGTGACACCAGTGATGTCGCAGAAATGTCGTTAAATGTTACTCGCCGCGTACAAGATTTACCATCAAATTCAGTTTATTTCATTCCTGTATTTAAGTTCACCGTAAATAGTATAGAAAAAAAAAACATTTTTTATGCATGCTATTACTATTACATTCATAAATTACTTTCCGTGTTTATTATCTCTCATATTTCGGCTGAAGGGCCGGGATCCAATGTCATCTAATAATTTCTTTTTTAAAGTTGCCATACCTATTGGAAAAGTGTCCAAGCTCATTACCCGCCATTAAGGACATAAATAATAATAATCGATTTTCCTCGAATATCAAAATCAAGGTGTTACATTTAATTTCATAATATGAAAAACTAGATAGTCAATCAGTTAGTATTGAAGAAGAATATAACGTAGATGTATTATTACATATTGCATATGCATTGTTATGCTACACTCTTACAAAAATTGACAGTAAAGATTCAAAAGAATATGAAGAATATTTAGAAAAATAGAACAAAGAGTTCATAGCATTGTTTACAGTTGTACCTCAACCGAGCGATCATTGCACGTGCCGTGTTTACATGAAATTAGTCATGCTATCTGTAGTACAAAGTCAAAACATGAGGATATACCTACACAAGTGCGCTCTCTGGACTTTATATTTAAAACATGTCTTCAAACACTGCGCAGCTGATAATAAATAACAGGAACTTGATTATTCACCGAAATCGGTGATAATTTGAGTTCCGCTTTAGCTTAATTTATTTTTGCCTACAAACCATGCGTTTTAGAATCAATGATAAGCAATTGGTAACTGTGTGTTGTAAATTTGTAAGCTCATCAAACTTTGCCCTTTGGACTGTTATCAAGGTTTTTGCTATTGCTACTCTTTGCCGAGTGTGTCCGACAGATTATGTAGTCATCCGTGATCATGGGACCTGTAAAGACAAGTCCGAAACGTCGGTTTGTTTGCAAAAAACAAATACACGCGAATTAAGATACGAAGAAGAAGATAAGAAAATGTCGGTTAGGCCGCTAACAGATTGACTGCATGTTTGCAGTTAACGCGTCAAGTCGTAGACAACTTCATACAACCAAGACACGTAGACAACCTTAGCTGCCGCTGAAAATATTTGCATACAAAATTTTACTTCTAGGCACGTAATATAGTATGTTCTAGTAATTCTACGCTGTAAAATTTGCCATACTAAAATTATGAATTTGTACCCTTGGCATAGCACAGCTACACGAGTCATTAAAACAATACGGACTACATGAAACGAATTATATATATTTGTGAAATTTTATAACTCCTATTTAAGCATAAAAAAGTTTTCGATTAATTTCGTTCGTAGAACCTTTAAGCTTGAAATACACTGAAAGCGGGTGCGGGTTGGGCGCGTGTCGGATCGGGAGCGCGGCAGATGTAATTCCGTGTATTTATATGGACAACACACCACGAGCGGTCGCGGGATAGGCTCAGGTTGGACACCCGCCGCGCTCCGGCCACGACACGCGCCCGACCCGCACCCGCTTTCAGTGAGTGTGTTTCACGCTTTCAACCTCTGTCCGTTGTCATTTTGCAAATGTTGTTTATGGTGTTATTATTATACTCCTGCGAGATTGTTACTACTTCACGAATAACCCTGTATATAATTATATGTATGATAGGTAGGTAGGATTAGGCAGGTATGTTGTAAAAGAGGAGAGTGTCTCCGTCAACACACCGCCCTGCAGTTTGGCCTGCTTTGAATTTTTGGCCAAGAGTTATTTTTCCATAGCAAACGATTCATTTATTTAAAAAATTGCAATTCGACCAATTAACCAATACTTTAATGGAACTATTTCGTCAATTACCTATCTTATTATACGTCCCATTACTAGGCACGGGTCTAATGTAAAGCATAGGTTCAGGCCCAATGCGTGTAAAAAATTTTACACGTCTTCCAAAGATTGTGGCCCTTCATACCAACGTTAAACATGATCACTTATAACTAGTGAATCAAAATTTCACTCCAACTACCACAATAAGGTAGTTGCGACACGGAAACGTCACACATGCACTTCATCACGACATATACCGACCTTTAACATAGGAAACAGAAGATATGTTTTTAATTCGAAATAAACTGAGCTCCCTGGTGAAGACCTTGTCTTTTTTCCGTGATACTTACGGTCAAGGAACTTTAAACTTTATTGAACTAAGATTTCGGTGTTATTATTAAGTCATTAGCGTGTCTTTTTGTGCCTAACTTGTCTTCTTTTAGTAAAATAGCTTACTTTAGTCCTTAGATGTTAAAATTTATAATATTTTTGTAGTTTAGTTCGTATTACAAAAGTTATTAATTAAATACCTTATTTTTATTTTCCAAAGAACATTCCAATTTACGCTACCTGTGTCATCGAAGATTTTCGTTTTTTATTTTGCATAAACTAACGTTCGACAGCAATTTCGCCTGATGAAAAGTAATGCGTGATTTACCATCCATATTAACTACATTTACATTTTAACATATCATTCAGTGAGGTAAGCGGATATTACGAGGGCGATTTGAGAAATACATTTTATTTCTATATAAATATATTTATATATTATTATATTTTTGCTTAGTTTGGCCGCGGAAATCAACTTGACATTGGCTTTTCACCCTGAATGTATAATTAAAGGTTTATTAACAATTTAAAATCTAGCCATTATAAATAAATAAACAAACATAATGTCAGTTTATAAGCAAGACAGCTAGGTACTGTGGCAACCTTGCCACTAACTGGAGTAAGGTTTGGATTGCTGCGTAAGCAATTACGTCAATACTAAACAAGGAATGTAGTATCATATCGCACTATTTATTACAAAAGATTAATTAGAAAAGATTACGTTCGAATTTACAGAGGGGTTAAGGGATTGAGGTAATCGA